CTCTCTCAACACCATCGTCGGGCCCTAGTCTTGACTATGTATACTCTCTCAACACCATCGTCGGGCCCTAGTCTTGACTATGTATACTCTCTCAACACCATCGTCGGGCCCTAGTCTTGACTATGTATACTCTCTCAACACCATCGTCGGGCCCTAGTCTTGACTATGTATACTCTCTCAACACCATCGTCGGGCCCTAGTCTTGACTATGTATACTCTCTCAACACCATCGTCGGGCCCTAGTCTTGACTATGTATACTCTCTCAACACCATCGTCGGGCCCTAGTCTTGACTATGTATACTCTCTCAACACCATCGTCGGGCCCTAGTCTTGACTATGTATACTCTCTCAACACCATCGTCGGGCCCTAGTCTTGACTATGTATACTCTCTCAACACCATCGTCGGGCCCTAGTCTTGACTATGTATACTCTCTCAACACCATCGTCGGGCCCTAGTCTTGACTATGTATACTCTCTCAACACCATCGTCGGGCCCTAGTCTTGACTATGTATACTCTCTCAACACCATCGTCGGGCCCTAGTCTTGACTATGTATACTCTCTCAACACCATCGTCGGGCCCTAGTCTTGACTATGTATACTCTCTCAACACCATCGTCGGGCCCTAGTCTTGACTATGTATACTCTCTCAACACCATCGTCGGGCCCTAGTCTTGACTATGTATACTCTCTCAACACCATCGTCGGGCCCTAGTCTTGACTATGTATACTCTCTCAACACCATCGTCGGGCCCTAGTCTTGACTATGTATACTCTCTCAACACCATCGTCGGGCCCTAGTCTTGACTATGTATACTCTCTCAACACCATCGTCGGGCCCTAGTCTTGACTATGTATACTCTCTCAACACCATCGTCGGGCCCTAGTCTTGACTATGTATACTCTCTCAACACCATCGTCGGGCCCTAGTCTTGACTATGTATACTCTCTCAACACCATCGTCGGGCCCTAGTCTTGACTATGTATACTCTCTCAACACCATCGTCGGGCCCTAGTCTTGACTATGTATACTCTCTCAACACCATCGTCGGGCCCTAGTCTTGACTATGTATACTCTCTCAACACCATCGTCGGGCCCTAGTCTTGACTATGTATACTCTCTCAACACCATCGTCGGGCCCTAGTCTTGACTATGTATACTCTCTCAACACCATCGTCGGGCCCTAGTCTTGACTATGTATACTCTCTCAACACCATCGTCGGGCCCTAGTCTTGACTATGTATACTCTCTCAACACCATCGTCGGGCCCTAGTCTTGACTATGTATACTCTCTCAACACCATCGTCGGGCCCTAGTCTTGACTATGTATACTCTCTCAACACCATCGTCGGGCCCTAGTCTTGACTATGTATACTCTCTCAACACCATCGTCGGGCCCTAGTCTTGACTATGTATACTCTCTCAACACCATCGTCGGGCCCTAGTCTTGACTATGTATACTCTCTCAACACCATCGTCGGGCCCTAGTCTTGACTATGTATACTCTCTCAACACCATCGTCGGGCCCTAGTCTTGACTATGTATACTCTCTCAACACCATCGTCGGGCCCTAGTCTTGACTATGTATACTCTCTCAACACCATCGTCGGGCCCTAGTCTTGACTATGTATACTCTCTCAACACCATCGTCGGGCCCTAGTCTTGACTATGTATACTCTCTCAACACCATCGTCGGGCCCTAGTCTTGACTATGTATACTCTCTCAACACCATCGTCGGGCCCTAGTCTTGACTATGTATACTCTCTCAACACCATCGTCGGGCCCTAGTCTTGACTATGTATACTCTCTCAACACCATCGTCGGGCCCTAGTCTTGACTATGTATACTCTCTCAACACCATCGTCGGGCCCTAGTCTTGACTATGTATACTCTCTCAACACCATCGTCGGGCCCTAGTCTTGACTATGTATACTCTCTCAACACCATCGTCGGGCCCTAGTCTTGACTATGTATACTCTCTCAACACCATCGTCGGGCCCTAGTCTTGACTATGTATACTCTCTCAACACCATCGTCGGGCCCTAGTCTTGACTATGTATACTCTCTCAACACCATCGTCGGGCCCTAGTCTTGACTATGTATACTCTCTCAACACCATCGTCGGGCCCTAGTCTTGACTATGTATACTCTCTCAACACCATCGTCGGGCCCTAGTCTTGACTATGTATACTCTCTCAACACCATCGTCGGGCCCTAGTCTTGACTATGTATACTCTCTCAACACCATCGTCGGGCCCTAGTCTTGACTATGTATACTCTCTCAACACCATCGTCGGGCCCTAGTCTTGACTATGTATACTCTCTCAACACCATCGTCGGGCCCTAGTCTTGACTATGTATACTCTCTCAACACCATCGTCGGGCCCTAGTCTTGACTATGTATACTCTCTCTCAACACCATCGTCGGGCCCTAGTCTTGACTATGTATACTCTCTCAACACCGTCGTCGGGCCCTAGTCTTGACTATGTATACTCTCTCTCAACACCATCGTCGGGCCCTAGTCTTGACTATGCATACTCTCTCTCAACACCATCGTCGGGCCCTAGTCTTGACTATGTATACTCTCTCTCTGAACACCATCGTCGATAACAAACACCATCTGTATCGACTGGTGATCTAAATACAGCATTTGACAGTATGGATGTAGATGTACAACCTTAATACAGATAGTATACCGGGACAATGTACAACCTGATTACAGATAGTATACCGGGGCAATGTACAACCTGATTACAGATAGTATACCGGGACAATGTACAACCTGGATACAGATAGTATACCGGGACAATGTACAACCTGATTACAGATAGCATATCGGGACAATATACAACCTGATTACAGACAGTATATCGGGACAATGTACAAGCTGATTACAGATAGTATACCGGGACAATGTACAACCTGGATACAGATAGTATTACGGGACAATGTACAACCTGATTACAGATAGTATAACGAGACAATTACAACCTGATAACAGATAGTATACCGGGACAATTACAACCTGATTACAGATAGTATAACAGGACAATGTACAAGCTCATTACAGATAGTATACCGGGACATGTACAAGCAGATTACAGATAGTATACCGGGACAATGTACAACCTGATTACATATAGTATACCGGGACAATGAACAACCTGATTACAGATAGTATAACAGGACAATGTACAAGCTGATTACAGATAGTATACCGGGACATGTACAAGCTGATTACAGATAGTATACCGGGACAATGTACAACCTGATTACAGATAGTATAACGGGACAATGTACAACATGATTACATATAGTATACCTGGACAATGTACAACTAGCTGATTACAGATAGTATACTGGGACAATGAACAACCTGATTACGGATAGTATAACAGGACAATGTACAACCTGATTACAGCTAGTATAACGGGACAATGTACAACCTGATCACAGATAGTATAACGGGACAATGTACAACATGATTACATATAGTATACCGGGACAATGAAAAACCTGATTACAGATAGTATAACAGGACAATGTACAACCTGATTACAGATAGTATACCGGGACAATGTAAAACCTGATTACAGATAGTATACCGGTACAATGTAAAACCTGATTACAGATAGTATACCTGGACAATGTACAACTAGCTGATTACAGATAGTATACCGGGACAATGTAAAACCTGATTACAGATAGTATACCGGGACAATGTAAAACCTGATTACAGA